CCTACCAAAGGCATTGACATTTGTTTTTCCTTTTCATTATGAAGTTTTCCCAAATATACCACGCAAGCCAACAAGAGTGTCATTGCTTAGTTCATGAACTCATCCCTACGGCTGGCTGGCTCTTGAGTGAACTCTGCAGGTAGAAGAGGGTTTGTCTTTGCTTCCAGCCCTACATTTCTAGGATTCTGACATTTCCAAATGTTACATATGTTTGTTCCAACCAAAATAACTTCCCAAAATTGACACTAATTTGTGAAATGTTTCAACCAATTAGAATCTGTAATTTGCTTGGCAAAAAAAGTTTCAGCTGAAAAAAAAAAAAAACAAAAAACTTCACCCAGCTCTATTCAGAACAGTCAACAGGGCCGAACCTCAGCTGCTCCTCAGGTTCCACTGGATCTGAGCTCAGTGCTCTAGTCTTCTCAGGAGCGGGTGTTCTGAGTACAACGGGGTGAAGTTTTCCAGCTGAAACTTATTTCACATGCATGGACAGAGATTCAGGTCAACTGAAACATTTCACAAATTGGTGTCTATTTCAGCAAGTTATTTTGGTCAAAACAAGCACCCATACTGTTTGGAAATGTCAGAATCTTGGAATCATAGAAACGTAGGGCTGGACATGGAATAGATGCAACCGGAGAGACACCCACCTGAGATTAGCCAGTAGCCTGGCGATTAGGGCACTCACCTTGGATGAGGGAGACCGGGGTTCCAGAATCCATGCGCCAGAGCAGAGATTCAAACCAGGGCCTCCCACATCCCAGGTGAGCCCCCAACCCCCGGGCCTTTTGGTACACCGGGGGAACACAACTGGTGGGTTTAATAACTGCCCCTCCTTTCCCTTTTTTTTTTTTTTATTATTAAATAAAAGTGCCTGAAACTAAGCATTTCATTTGACCCAAAAATAAGCTTTTCCACCTTTGATTCATCAAACATTCCTATTTCAGTTCCACCTGAACTGGAGTTTCTTTGATTTTTCAGAACTGTCAGGAAACTGGGGTGGGGGGGGGGGGGGGGGAGAAAACCGTTATTGGCACAACTCTAGTTCCAAGTACTCCAATATCTCCCCCACAGAGCTCTCCTGGGAGTTTTGCTAATTAGGTCTAACTGCTATCCCAATGCGGATGACTGATCCAAGCAGGCCCTATTTTTTGGAGGATCCCTAGGATCCAGGGAAGACTGTCACATTGGGGTCTGTCAGGATCCTTTCATCGTGCAACCTCCTTTAAGCCACAATAAATTTTATGACCAGAAGGGACCATTATATTCATCCAGTCTAACCTCCTGATTAACCAAGGGCAGGCCGCTAGAACTGGAAAAGATGCCTTAACCTGTAGAAGCATTTCTGACTGTTCTAGACAGGGCCCCTGTCATAACTATAAAGGGAAGGGTAACAGCTCTCTGTGTACAGA